GTGAGAGAAGAAAAAGGGAAACATTTCACCAAACATTTCCAAAACCTGGCTCATCATTAGTATCTGTTGGTCAGCATATTATAAAATGCAGATTCCTGCTACCCAGCCTTGACCTACTGAACTCAACCCAGGCCTACTGACCCAAAAGCCCAAGCGATAGGGCCCAGGATCTGCACAACCGGCCCTCCCCATACCACTCAACTGTTCTGAGTTGGTTGCAAAACAGATTACTGGAGGTTTTCTGCTTTCCTTCTTCCATCTCCTGGCTCCCTACAGCACCCTGCACCCACCATCTTTAGTGTATGCCTAGAATCTCGGGGTGGGGGTGAGCGGAACAGAGCTGGGGTGTGGGGAAGGGCTCTGAAGGACGGCTGCGATCCCCACTCTGGCACTACATGTGGGTGCTCTCACATCTCTGAATGTGTTTCCTCAGCTGAAAGGTGGTAACAAGACCGACCTTCCAGAATCACTACTAGGACCAAATGGTAAGCACTCAACCCAAGTTAGTTACTCCCACCTCCCCATGGAAAGGGCCTCATAACCTTGGCCTTCACTTCCTCCACGCATACTTCTCCCCGGCTCAACCTCAGCCTTCCCTTAAGGCTTTCAAAAATTGTTATTGTTGCCACATGTTATTAATGTTTAGGGGAATATAAAAAGATATGACAACTACACTAACAAGAATTAATTTTTCTTGAGGATTCAAAAATGAAAAAAAAATTAGGTTGGGTAGCCTTTCTTGCTTTAAAGTGATTTTCGTTTTTCAAGGGTAGTGTAACTGAACCTACAAACATTACGTTAAAAATAATTTAAAAATTATTTGTTGTATTCTTCCACCATCTGTGATATCACAGTAAAAATGTGTAGACCAAGTGGCAATCATTTTGTTTAACCAAAGGGGTAAGAAAGAAGCCTCGATGCAGTCACCATAACTTTGAGAAAAGAAATGTTTGGATTTTTATAACACTGCTCTTTTATCTCCGCCCCCTCCCCGCCTTAACATTTAATTTCAAAAAGTGTTATTCCCACATTGTCCACTAGGAGTCAGCCAGGGACCATCACTGAACTAAAGGACTGAAAGGAGGTTGACAGGAACTAATGAATTTCCAACAGCTGTGCTAATATTATTAGACCGGTGGTACATTTTTTGATGTTTAAAAAATTCCCTATTATACATTTCTTTGATTTAATAGGAATAAATATATTTGATAGCTTTAAGGAAAAGATTGAGAAATAGTCAAGGAAAGAAGTGAAAAGTTCAAGTTAACTATCTGCTTAAATAAAATAGAAAATTATTAGAACACCATCGTAGATAAAGTACATTAAATAAGTGTGTTTCCATTTCCAACCCTTGGGAACAATGTGGTGAAGACTTGCTCTTTGGAGCCAGACAGCCCTGGGTTTGACTCTGGGCTCGGTCATGTACTAGCTGCATCAACTTGGCAATTTGTGTCAAGTCTCTGAGCCTGTTTTTATTTCTCTGGAAGGGGGAGAATAGGCCCTTCTCAGAAGGAGTTTTGTGTGGGGTGAAATAAGAGTATTAAGTACTTAGCACAGTGTGTGCGTGCTCAAGAAGGTGTAGCTGAAACAGAATGAGATTCTAAAAGGACCAGGAAGTTGGGTAAACAAGGACAATTCTATTGTGACCATTTTAACACGAAAAGGGAAAACTGCCTGGACTATACACGCCTAGCGTGGGAGAGAGAGGACAGGTACGTGCGTTAGTCTTGTTTTGTAATCCTGTAATTGCCCTTCGGAATCCCTTCGGTAGGTGTGAATTCCCAGTGGACAGGTAGACAATAGGTGGGGCCTATCAAAGCCACTGCCATTGCTCAGAGCACACTCATTGCCAGGCACTGGCCAGCAACCAAATGACTACCCGAGAGGAGAATGCAGTCACCTGTCCGCATGAGCTCCCTGACATCTCGGAACACCTGCTGAAATGAGACTCATGCCTCAAGGCACACACCTCCGCACACTCATTTCCTGGGTACATAATCACTGCTGACAGCCCCTGAGCGGGGCTGCAGAGGCTTTTCAAACGACACAAAGAGCAAAACAGGTCTCTCCTTTCTGAGAAATCTCATTTCTACTTATTCCTCGCCCAGTTCTACCCTTGTGATCATCACCCCATTTTCTGCCCCACTTCACTCCTCCCCGCCCCAGCACGGACCCTCTCACCATCCACGTGGATAATCCTCCCCCTAGTTCCTCACCACATGATCCCCGATAACCTTTTCCTCCACTCCAGAACAGCAACACACAATCGGAGCTGCCCCCAGAACCTACAGCCGCCCCGACCTGCCCTGCCTCCAAGGCAGGCTTCCAAAGGGCCCTTCTTCAACTACACATCTATCTCCACATTTCCGTCTCCCCACCTGTCACCCTGCTGAACCTGTTCTCTCACTTTACAAGACCAGGGTTCCTTCAACCCCGGTCTATTTTCCCAGTTAATTTCACCGTCTGCTCAGCCTGCAAATCCTGTTGGATCACTGCATAGGTGCTGAAGAGCACCCCGCCTTCCTGCCCTGTTAACCTTCCCTGTCACCAATCCCCAGCCCTGGGGAACCCACGTGCGCTGTGGTGCCTCAACACTAGTTTCGGAGTCATCTGAAATGAGCTCATCGCACTGATCCATGGTGGCCAGCTTCCGGCGGCTCTCAGACGCCTTTCCCAGGTTACTGTGTTGGGCGAGAGTTCTGCACCTTCCCACTTTCGCTCAGCCACCAAGCCCATCTTTGCTTCACTCACCCAGTAAGTGACATGACCCCCAACTTCAGTGAAATCAAACCCTCGACCTTCCCTCAAATCCACCTCAAAGCTTCTCTATTCTTTTCATCTTTCTTCTCGCTCAGCCCGGGAAGGCGCTTCTGACTGTTTCCAAAACTGACCCCCCGCCCTGAGCTTTTGATCCCACCCTGCCACCTCCCAGGGTCACATTCCGAGAGGACCCCTTCCCTTATTTTCCCATCTCCTGTTTCCCCGTCTTCTTCCCTTCTGTTTACTTATGTCCAGGGCATTCTTCACCTACAAACAGTGTCTTGCTTTGATCTCACCTTTCCTCAAACTACCAGCTTTTGTCTTTTCTGAACTCTGTTTTAAAAAAGAAAAGCCTACACTCCGTCTGTTCCTTTCGCTCCCCTTTCTCTTCAGCCCACTCCAGCCTCGCCTTGGTCTCTTAGTGAACAAATCTGATATCTACGTTTCTGTTGGACTCTGTTTTGACCTCAGCAGCATCTGAGGCTGTCACTCAGCTCCCTCTCTTTGAGATTCTTTCCTTCCTTCGTTACCTCACCTTTCCCCTCCAGGTTTCCTACTACCTCATCGCTACTCTTCCTTTGATGTTCTCTACACCCCCCACCCTACTGCAGATCCCTTAGTTGTTGGGATTCCCAAGCGTTCTTCTTCCTTTCCACATTTTGATGGGCCTTCCTATCATGGGCCCTCCTATCAACTCTCAGAGCTTCAGTTATTGTCTGGGTGGAGAGAGCCTCCCGATCTGCAGCTTCCAAGACCTGAATTGCCACCTGCAGCTGACCTGCCCCTGTACATGTATCAGCGCTCAGCCCACTGGCTCCCATCTAACCCGTTCCTCCCGTTTGAAATCTATCCTGGAGCTCACAACACCATCCTCCTGGCCCAACTCCTTACTCATCCTTGACTTCTAGTTCTCCCTCTCCTCATGCTTGGTGGGCAGAATCCTATGCTCTCTGCCTCCACAGTGGGTTTTTGCATCCCCTCATATGCTGTGGCTCCCTGGCAGTGCCCCTGATCTGTTTTCTAGACTATTGTGGTGGCTTGTTAATTCCTCTCCTGTCTCTAGTCTCACTCCTCCCACTCATTGCCACACTGTTCCCGAAGTTACACTCTGAGGACACGGGGCAACCCATGCCATACCCTTCTTCCCAAACCGTCACCAATACAATCCAGACTCCTACTGTGTGGGGTCAAAGCCCTTTATTACCCAGTTGTCTGCCTTCCACTTCTCCAGCCTCACCTCCAACTCCATCTTCTTGGGACTCAGCCCCTCCACCTAGGCATCTCTGTTTTGTGTATGCTGTTCCCTCGGCTTGGTTTTCCTTTTCCATTTCCCTCACTTAATGAAAATATTCCTCATTCTTCAAGATTCTGAAAGGCACTTTCCTTCCCCACTCAACTGTAATTCAACACTTTACCCTCCCACAACACTTGGCTTATACCTTCATTAATGCATCATGTTTAGCAAACAGTTACATAATTCAGGGCTAGCTCCCTCGTCTGCAGACCCCTTCATGGCCACGTCTGGGCCTGGGTCCCCTCGCCTTCCCACAGAACCGGAGCCAGCTTTAGTCACTGTAGGTGCTTCGTGCACTTTGATTCATCCTCATAGCTCTCTTTAGTGTTTACTCATTCTCTAGAAATGTACTTATAGTCTCCTCCGTATTTTTCTTCTTTCACGTCCAAAACAACATTATTTAAAAAAAATGAAACAAAAACTCTCCACAGTGTCCCTACATGCGAGTCCTCTCAGAATAAATGGCTGGCTCAGCTGGTCCCTGGCGGATCCCGGCTCTCACTCTTCTTTACTTTGCAGTTGAAGTT